ACGTTTGTCATGAAGGTTTGAGTATTTAAGTTTAATATGTACTGTAAAAGGGAAGAGTCAACAGCAACAAAGAAAGAACTCAGGTTCATGTTGGGTATGTTGTGTATCAGAGCCGATTCAACAAGACACCATCTGTGGAGAGTAGAGACAGGAAAGATAATTTTAGAAGACCAATCAAAAGGATGATTAAGAGTCCCTAACATGACCGAAGAGAGCATTGAAGAGAGCATTGTTTGCGTCTGCAGACTTAACACTTTTGTGTTCCTTAATTTAAGTTTTGTCATTTTGGCTGTACAAGAATGTAACAACTCTTGTATATATCTCAAAAAAAAAAAAAAAAAAAAAAAAAAAAAAAAAAAAAAATTTAGTGCAAGGCCAATTTCACCAAATTATTGGAGAGGACAAGACAGACAGGAAATAGAGTAGACACCAGCAGCATTAGAAGCAGAAGCAGCATTGTGAGCCAGATTACTACGAAGAGAGTTAGTTTGTCGAAAGGCGAGTGTTACGTCAGGAGGATGAAGGGTATTAGTGAGATTTTTGAGTTCAGATATGAGGGGAAGGCACATTTAAATTTTTAAGTACTAAATAAAGTCCAGATAACTTTCTGCCAAACTTCACCATATCTTGGTGAAGTTTGTTGGAAACATGTATCAGTACTTGAGACAAACAAAACAGCTGATTGTGAGAGAGAGACCAATGAACATAGGAGGCAATCAAACCTTGATTCTTATTTGGTAGAAACAGCAAGCCAAGCCCCTTCAACCAGTGTGGCCTCACAAGCAAGCCAAGCCCCTTCAACCAGTGTGGCCTCACAAGCAAGACAAGGCCCTTCAACCAGTGTGGCCTCACAAGCAAGACAAGGACCTTCAACCAGTGTGGCCACACAAGCAAGACAAGGACCTTCAACCAGTTCAGCCTCACAAGCAAGACAAGGACCTTCAACCAGTGCAGCCTCACAAGCAAGACAAGGACCTTCAACCAGTGTGGCCACACAAGCAAGACAAGGACCTTCAACCAGTGCAGCCTCACAAGCAAGACAAGGACCTTCAACCAGTGCAGCCTCACAAGCAAGACAAGGACCTTCAACCAGTGTGGCCTCACAAGCAAGACAAAGACCTTCAACCAGTGCAGCCTTACAAGCAAGACAAGGACCTTCAACCAGTGTGGCCTCACAAGCAAGACAAGGACCTTCAACCAGTACAGCCTCACAAGCAAGACAAGGACCTTCAACCAGTGTGGCCTCACAAGCAAGACAAGGACCTTCAACCAGTGTGGCCTCACAAGCAAGACAAGGACCTTCAACCAGTGCAGCCTCACAAACAAGACAAGGACCTTCAACCAGTGCAGCCTCACAAGCAAGACAAGGACCTTCAACCAGTGCGGCCTCACAAGCAAGACAAGGACCTTCAACCAGTGTGGCCTCACAAGCAAGACAAGGACCTTCAACCAGTGCAGCCTTACAAGCAAGATAAGGACCTTCAACCAGTGTGGCCTCACAAGCAAGACAAGGACCTTCAACCAGTGCAGCCTCACAAGCAAGACAAGGACCTTCAACCAGTGCAGCCTTACAAGCAAGACAAGGACCTTCAACCAGTACAGCCTCACAAGCAAGACAAGGACCTTCAACCAGTACAGCCTCACAAGCAAGACAAAGACCTTCAACCAGTGCAGCCTCACAAGCAAGACAAGGACCTTCAACCAGTGTGGCCTCACAAGCAAGACAAGGACCTTCAACCAGTGCAGCCTCACAAGCAAGACAAGGACCTTCAACCAGTGCAGCCTCACAAGCAAGACAAGGACCTTCAACCAGTGCAGCCTCACAAGCAAGACAAGGACCTTCAACCAGTGCAGCCTCACAAGCAAGACAAGGACCTTCAACCAGTGCAGCCTCACAAGCAAGACAAGGACCTTCAACCAGTGTGGCCTCACAAGCAAGACAAGGACCTTCAACCAGTGTGGCCTCACAAGCAAGACAAGGACCTTCAACCAGTGCAGCCTTACAAGCAAGACAAGGACCTTCAACCAGTGTGGCCACACAAGCAAGACAAGGACCTTCAACCAGTGTGGCCACACAAGCAAGACAAGGACCTTCAACCAGTGCAGCCACACAAGCAAGACAAGGACCTTCAACCAGTGTGGCCTCACAAGCAAGACAAGGACCTTCAACCAGTGTGGCCTCACAAGCAAGACAAGGCCCTTCAACCAGTGCAGCCTCACAAGCAAGACAAGGACCTTCAACCAGTGCAGCCTCACAAGCAAGACAAGGACCTTCAACCAGTGCAGCCTCACAAGCAAGACAAGGACCTTCAACCAGTGTGGCCCACACAAGCAAGACAAGGACCTTCAACCAGTGCAGCCTCACAAGCAAGACAAAGACCTTCAACCAGTGCAGCCTCACAAGCAAGACAAGGACCTTCAACCAGTGCAGCCTCACAAGCAAGACAAAGACCTTCAACCAGTGCAGCCTCACAAGCAAGACAAGGACCTTCAACCAGTGCAGCCTCACAAGCAAGACAAGGACCTTCAACCAGTGCAGCCTTACAAGCAAGACAAGGACCTTCAACCAGTGTGGCCTCACAAGCAAGACAAGGACCTTCAACCAGTGCAGCCTCACAAGCAAGACAAGGACCTTCAACCAGTGTGGCCCACACAAGCAAGACAAGGACCTTCAACCAGTGCAGCCTCACAAGCAAGACAAAGACCTTCAACCAGTGCAGCCTCACAAGCAAGACAAGGCCCTTCAACCAGTGCAGCCTCACAAGCAAGACAAGGCCCTTCAACCAGTGCAGCCTCACAAGCAAGACAAGGACCTTCAACCAGTGCAGCCTCACAAGCAAGACAAGGACCTTCAACCAGTGTGGCCACACAAGCAAGACAAGGACCTTCAACCAGTGTGGCCTCACAAGCAAGACAAGGACCTTCAACCAGTGCAGCCTCACAAGCAAGACAAGGACCTTCAACCAGTGTGGCCTCACAAGCAAGACAAGGCCCTTCAACCAGTGTGGCCTCACAAGCAAGACAAGGACCTTCAACCAGTGTGGCCTCACAAGCAAGACAAGGACCTTCAACCAGTGTGGCCTCACAAGCAAGACAAGGCCCTTCAACCAGTGCAGCCTCACAAGCAAGACAAGGACCTTCAACCAGTGTGGCCACACAAGCAAGACAAGGACCTTCAACCAGTGCAGCCTTACAAGCAAGACAAGGACCTTCAACCAGTGTGGCCACACAAGCAAGACAAGGACCTTCAACCAGTGCAGCCACACAAGCAAGACAAGGACCTTCAACCAGTGTGGCCTCACAAGCAAGACAAGGACCTTCAACCAGTGCAGCCTCACAAGCAAGACAAGGACCTTCAACCAGTGTGGCCTCACAAGCAAGACAAGGCCCTTCAACCAGTGTGGCCTCACAAGCAAGACAAGGCCCTTCAACCAGTGCAGCCTCACAAGCAAGACAAGGACCTTCAACCAGTGCAGCCTCACAAGCAAGACAAGGACCTTCAACCAGTGCAGCCTCACAAGCAAGACAAGGACCTTCAACCAGTGCAGCCTCACAAGCAAGACAAGGACCTTCAACCAGTGTGGCCACACAAGCAAGACAAGGACCTTCAACCAGTGCAGCCTCACAAGCAAGACAAGGACCTTCAACCAGTGCAGCCTCACAAGCAAGACAAGGCCCTTCAACCAGTGCAGCCTCACAAGCAAGACAAGGACCTTCAACCAGTGTGGCCACACAAGCAAGACAAGGACCTTCAACCAGTGCAGCCTTACAAGCAAGACAAGGACCTTCAACCAGTGTGGCCACACAAGCAAGACAAGGACCTTCAACCAGTGCAGCCACACAAGCAAGACAAGGACCTTCAACCAGTGTGGCCTCACAAGCAAGACAAGGACCTTCAACCAGTGCAGCCTCACAAGCAAGACAAGGACCTTCAACCAGTGTGGCCTCACAAGCAAGACAAGGCCCTTCAACCAGTGTGGCCTCACAAGCAAGACAAGGCCCTTCAACCAGTGCAGCCTCACAAGCAAGACAAGGACCTTCAACCAGTGCAGCCTCACAAGCAAGACAAGGACCTTCAACCAGTGCAGCCTCACAAGCAAGACAAGGACCTTCAACCAGTGCAGCCTCACAAGCAAGACAAGGACCTTCAACCAGTGTGGCCACACAAGCAAGACAAGGACCTTCAACCAGTGCAGCCTCACAAGCAAGACAAGGACCTTCAACCAGTGCAGCCTCACAAGCAAGACAAGGACCTTCAACCAGTGCAGCCTCACAAGCAAGACAAGGACCTTCAAGCATGCTTGATGCTTCAGCAGCTAGCAGTCAAAACTAGCCTTGCCAAGCTCATGTACTGTACTTCTGTACTGTACATCTTACTGTTGTGTTAGGTTACATAAAGTTTCAAGAAGATACAGTATTGTATGCAGCATCAGATGACAAACTACAACAAGGTAAGGTGAAATTTCTGTTTTAAATTACAGTTCTGCAATATTTTATAATTATAGTGTATGTGTAAATTCAAATTATGCTGGTTGTGATACAAAAATTGTTGAATATACAGTATTCACTTTTGGATTTTCCCAGTCAGAATAATGGTCATTCGAATGTCTGGCTTATCCGGTGGAGGGTCTTTCCCATATAGTTCGGATAAGTGAACTCATACAATATCACCTTCAGACAGTACGTTGCTGTTTTGTTCATATTCTGCTGTTATGGCTCGTTATTGCTTCCACTGGCTAAGGTCCCCAGTTCATTTCTTATTTATTCTCAAAGTTTTCATACCTTAGTGTGGATAGTTATGAATTATAGTATTGTTGTGGTTGTCTTGCTTGTGGTGGAACAGCATACTCTTGTCCCACCCTGCCCTGGATTCTCACCGAGGGTCTCGTGCCTTTTGTACTGGTATAAGGTACAGTGAACGTCACTGATGCAAACAAGGAAAAGAAGATCCACATACTGCATTTTGGGGCAGTGACGATAAAGGAATAATGAAATGCTGATAATATTATAAAACACTTCAATTATTACAATAAAACTGTTGTATATTACATTAAATGATATTTACATCATTTAAGTACTACAAAAATATACATTAGTCTACACTACAATAGCAATACAAAAATATACATTAGTTTACACTACAATTGCAATACAAAAATATACATTAGTCTACAGTACAATTGCAGTACAAAATTATACACTTTAAATACAATATGTTAATACAACTAAGCATTAATATGAAGTGATCAACTTGTATAACAGTCATACAAATTCCAAAACACTAATTTCATAAAATTCATATGCCTAAGGTTGTCCAAACAACCTTAGGCCTATTAAAACTACAAAAATAGAATACAGTAGTAGCAAATACACCGTATTTCTCCTTGAAAACTTCATATTATATGCAATGTGAAGTTACTCATGCTAATTAACAAAGGCTGATTAATTGTTAACTAAATATCACTCTCGCTCACTCACCAAACAAGTCTGTTCACTTTCCTCTTACTCGTCACACATGTCACTCAAGTTGTCATCATCGTCATCATTTACTCAAGTATCACACGTTGAGCTGCCCCGCTCATTCCCAGCATCAGGAGGAGGAGTGACAAGAGAAATGAAAGGCTTTACCATGACAAACGGGTGGAGAGGAATGTATTGGAATGCTAAAATAACTTCAGTCTGAGCTATAACAAGCTATAACAATCCAGATTGTTGCAAGAAAGAAATATAGTTATTAGTAATGGCATGATTTTAATATGGTTTACTTATAATTTCAATTTACGTATTATTTTCACACACTTAAGCATACAAAATCAAAATTTTTTCGCAGTATATATATCAGGAGATATCCAATATATATTACAAAATATTATCACTGCACACAGTTATGTACCATACTTACAAGGGTTGGTCACACAATATGAGGACTTGATTATCTTGAGATGATATAGGACGAGGCACAGTTCAGTAAACATATCACTACGAGCCATGAGAGGCTGGAGCAGATTCAATAAACACACGGCATTTGTAAAATAAAGGCACGACATTGAAGGAAAATAAAGATATATACCAGAAGAAAGTCAAGAAGAAAGGACGAGGAAAGGTTAGGTTGGCCGACAAGGAAGATGGAGTCCAGTACTGTGAAAAATTAAATGTGGGCATGAGGAACGAGTATTTTAAAGACCAAACACTAAGGTATATTAAGGGAGAATCAGCAGTACTGCGGGAAAGAACGGGAAGACGAGAGATTACAATTTTAACAGTTATTGAGAATAAAAGATATGATGCGAGGAACGAGTGCCAGTAGCTCACGACACTCAGGATTCACAACTGCCTACAAAGCAGGGCCAGGATTCGCCAAGCATTTACATATCCACTTATGAGACTATTACATCTTTCTTCAATCATGGCAGCATGTCTGTAACAATGAGAATGTCTATAACAATAATTACTGTTGGTCTAGAATGACCTCACAGCAATTTCAACTTGAAAACTGTTAAATAAATACAGAGAAAGCCACCATGATCAAGATGTAGAGCTTTCTTTAGTGGACATATGAATTCCTGATGACTCCTTGGCCTGGAGGGCTGGCAAAAGTAACTTTTAAGTGTATAATTTGCCTAGCAGAAACCATGGGTGTCTAAAACATAAATAATGCACTTTATCAGGTCAATACACAGGTTGACGTGGCTAAGTTAAAGATGTTAAGAATCACATCTTAAAGAGCACAGCTGACTAACAAGACTACAACTAGTGACACCTGCACTCTCTCAGTTTTGTTATTTCCAAATGAAAGTAACAGAAAATTTATGAATGCTGAAGTGCCTGGTCATCAATGTAATTATTAGCTTTCATGTAAAGGTTATATATTAGTTTTATATAATTTTGATTAACAATTGCTGCCAAATTGTACTGCACCTCAAACTAAATAGTTTGCTTTGCAATACGGTCAAAAGACTCATGCAACTATACTGGTATTGCCTATTTTATTACCCGAGGATCATGGTACCTCTCGTGTCCATCAGCACTCCTATTAAATAGAAAAGCTACAACGAAAGATGAAGAAAATAATGGGTGTAGACCATTTAGCCCTGGCTGTCCACAAAGGCTCTTCCATGGAAGAAATAAAGGTTCATGGAAGAAACCCAACAACAGAGCAAAAAACCAGCGTTGAATGTAATGAAACGCCATTTTCTAGGCGAGTCCCAGAGGCTCCTTAGAGCTATCGGACTGATATTAGTTATATTAGTCTGGGGCTTCAGTCACATGGAGTTCTGCCTACCAGGAACCACGAGCCAGAACCTGGTTCCCTCAGAGAGGTGCAGGGAGCAAAGGCCTATGAAAACTCCACTCTTTGGGAGTACTGTACAGGTATATTCCTGTTTGCCATTGACTAGGCTTAGGCACCCAGAAAGGTTGGCGCCCCAAAACAGACTCCAACTGGTAGAAAATTGCAACCCAAGACCGAACAGAGCCCAAGAACTTCCCCCAAGAAAAAGAAGGTAACAAGCAAATTGTCAACAGATTTCGTTCACGCCGCCACCCCTTCCCCCTTGGGAGGCCTCACCCACCCGAGCAGGCTACCTGCTCACCAGTTCAGAGACTGAGCAAACAGAAGAAAGACCGCTGACCTTGCAAGGGAGCTTCTGGGGCTCACCCAGAAAATTATGTTTCATTACATTCATCTCTGGTTTTCTGTGGAGAGCCCCGTCGGCTCCCTGGAGCTAGATACCCAAAGATAAGTAAAAGAGGAACTTACCCAGGAGGCAGCAGCACCGTGTGCCTCATGACGAAGACGGGACAACTGGCTGCAACCGACTGCCCAAGGTCACACAAGACCGCTGAGAGCCCGGAACGTTCACGAGATAATGGGAGGCCAGGATCCTGTTAGACCTCCAAAACCCGTGCCCGAATGTCAGTCCAAGATATGTTCCCAAACACAGCAGCAAGAGCCGCAAACTTCTGAACATCATGGGCATGAGGGTAGACTGCAGGCTGGCAAGACTTAACCCTGCAGACGACCTAAGAGACCCGAGCCCTAGAACAGGAAATGAGGGAAAGTGGATCAACACAAAGCGCGTCCCCGGACACAGAATCCAAGGCGCTCAGGTAACTGCAGAGAGCAGCAACCAGACACAAAACATGATGCACCCCCGGCCTGACCACCCAAGCATCAATAACCCACGGACCCCTCGCGTTGGTTTGATGTGATGTGCTTGTTACCTTGATTTTCTTGGAGGAAGTGCTTGGGCTCTGTTCGGTCTCGGGTTGCAATTATCTACCAGTTGGGGTATATTCTGGGTGCCTAACCACAGTCGATGGCAGATATGAATTACAGTACTCTCAAAGAGTGGAGTTTTCATAGCCCATTGGTCCCTGCACTGAAGCTCCATGTGACTGAAGCCCCAGATTAATACAGCTTCATGTAATATCAGTCCAATAGCTCCAGGGAGCCGATGGGGCTCCATACAGAATAGTATTGTCCACAAAAGACCTACTAAATTGGCTATTAAGAGTTCCCCACAAAAGCCCTAATGTACAGAAAAAAAAGGTTGCCCACAAAAACTATACCAACGTGGGAATAAGAGATTACCCACGAAAGCTATACCAATGTGGGAATAAAAGATTGCCCACAAAAGCTATACCAACATGGGAATAAGAGATTACCCACGAAAGCCGTACCAAGTAAAACAATAGTTCAAAGCATCACTACCTGCAAGTATACATACCGCAAATGAATTTGGGATCAATTGGTGACCAGGCTGTGCCATTGTATGTTGTGCTGACATAGGTCTGGTTTGTGGTCGGTAGTGTGCCCGCCTGACATGTATAGTTGAGGGTCTGTCCCACCCAGAAAGGAGCAGGTGGGCCGGCCAGCATCGCCCCGCTCGGCAGAGGTGGTGGTGCATCCTCTGCAACTGGAATTAGTACATACATCAGCATAGTTCTTGGACCACCCCTCTGGACCTGTATCTGGTCTGTCTGACCCTCTGATGAAATTGGGATCAATTGGATAGTCCTATCACTTCCCCCTGAACCTATAATGTAATAATGTAAGGATAGTCCTATGGCCATCCCTGTATCCTTGTATCTGGTCTGTCCAACCAGTGAGTGTTAGGATAGCTCTCCACCTCCCTTATGACTACCTCCTCTGTACAGTCTTCTCACAACTACCTCAACAATGTATGTCTTCTCACAACTGCCTCCTCAACACAGTCGTCTCACAACTACCTCCACAACACAGTAGTCTCAACTACCTCTTCAACACAGTCTTCTCACAACTACCTCTTCAAGACAGTCGTCTCACAACTACCTCTTCAACAGTCATCTCACAACTACCTCCACAACACAGTTGTCTCAACTACCACCTCAACACAGTAGTCTCACAACTACCTCCTCAACACAGTCGTCTAACAACTACCTCCACAACACAGTCTTCTCACAACTACCTCTTCAACACAGTCGTTTCACAACTACCACCTCAACACAGTCTTCTCACAACTACCTCTTCAACACAGTCGTCTCACAACTACCTCCACAACACAGTCTTCTCACAACTACCTCTTCAACACAGTCGTCTCACAACTACCTCCTCAACACAGTCGTTTCACAACTACCACCTCAACACAGTCTTCTTACAACTACCTCCACAACACAGTCGTCTCACAACTACCTCCTCAACACAGTCGTCTCACAACTACCTCCTCAACACAGTCGTCTCACAACTACTAACACAACAGTCGTCTCACAACTACCTCCTCAACACAGTCGTCTCACAACTACCTCTTCAAGACAGTCGTCTCACAACTACCTCCACAACACAGTCGTCTCACAACTACCTCCACAACACAGTCGTCTCACAACTACCTCCACAACACAGTAGTCTCACAACTACCTCCTCAACACAGTCGTCTCACAACTACCTCCACAACACAGTCGTCTCACAACTACCTCCTCAACACAGTCTCCTCCTAGCCAAGGGTGAGACAGTCCCCCCAGCTAAGGGTGAGGCAGCCTATTTAGTCACCCTAGCCAGCCCATTCTGCTGTTTAGGTAGTACTTATATGAAGGATGAGGATAAGAGTACATATAAGAGTACATATACCGACGTACAAAGCAATTAGAAAGTAGAAATTGGCACCACTGAATTTAGACAAACTGGAAAATGATTTTCTCATGTTGCAAAGACAAACTAAACTAGCCTAATCTAACATTCCTAGAATTAGTACATACATCAACTATACATGCTGATGTATACTCAACTAGGGTGAACCAATACATGCTATCTGAGGGCTAATATAGTACATGTGTGTGCTATACCAATATAGCATGGGAGCCAGTCGGCCGAGCGATGGGAGCCAGTCGGCCGAGCGATGGGAGCCGGTCGGCCGAGCGGACAGCACACTGGACTTGTGATCCTGTGGTCCCGGGTTCGATCCCGGGCGCCGGCGAGAAACAATGGGCAGAGTTTCTTTCACCCTATGCCCCTGTTACCTAGCAGTAAAATAGGTACCTGGGTGTTAGTCAGCTGTCACGGGCTGCTTCCTGGGGGTGGAGGCCTGGTCGAGGACCGGGCCGCGGGGACACTAAAGCCCCGAAATCATCTCAAGATATATACTAGGCCTAGGAATATTTCGGTTTGTTATTTAGCCTCATTTTTTTGGACTCTGTAAAGTGAATAGTACATAATTCTACTATCTCATTACTTAAACATCACTGTTTGAACTATGGAGCACATAGTTACAAGTACTATCTACACAGGAGGATGGGTTGACGTAGCTAAGGTGAGGCAGCCCAAATGGCACTCCTAGCCAAAGAGTGAGACAGTCGACATGGTCCCTAAAGCCAAGGATGAGGCAGTGTGTGTGGAGTTGCTAGTCAAGAGTGAAGCAGTCCAAGTGGTCATCCGTCCAGTGACCAAGTGATGCACACCTCATCCACTGTACCACATACAGTTCGCTCAGTGTTCAAAGCATATTCACGATTACATATTCCTTACTGTTTCATTTATATAATGTACACATTAATGTATTCCTTATACAGTACTCACCTGTTAAAATGCAATTGCTACTATCTTATTCTGTTTGTAATATACTCACCTGGTAAACAGGTAAAGGCTGGGTCAAGAGGTGACCATGCAGAACCATTGAATGTTGTACTTGTGTAGTTGAGACCTGAGGGAGAGATCTTGCCAGGCTCGCAGGTAACATTGATGGTGCTCCCCTTCCAGTATTGAGTGGTGTTGTATGCTGAAGAAGTGGATGAATTCTGTCCTGGTAAGGCCGCTCCAGCTGGCAGAGTGGGAGGAGGCTGGGTTGCAGCTGAAAGATGCCATATAGGGCACACTCTTAGCTTTTATACAGTTAAAAAACATAATAGTGAAATGAGGAGATCATATGGCAGAGGAAAACAACCAGAATTTTAGAGTCAGGGAAGAACAATATATGAAATAAATGGTTCCTTTAGCGGGGTGAGGGAAGGGATACACAGTACAAATGAGGGAATGGTTTGTGTGGTGACAAGAGCCTCCCGGGGAGAATGGTTTGTATGGTGACAAGAGCCTCCCGGGGAGAATGGTTTGTATGGTGACAAGAGCCTCCCGGGGAGAATGGTTTGTGTAGTGACAAGAGCCTCCCGGGGAGAATGGTTTGTGTGGTGACAAGAGCCTCCCGGGGAGAATGGTTTGTGTGGTGACAAGAGCCTCCCGGGGAGAATGGTTTGTATGGTGACAAGAGCCTCCCGGGGAGAATGGTTTGTATGGTGACAAGAGCCTCCCGGGGAGAATGGTTTGTGTGGTGACAAGAGCCTCCCGGGGAGAATGGTTTGTATGGTGACAAGAGCCTCCCGGGGAGAATGGTTTGTGTGGTGACAAGAGCCTCCCGGGGAGAATGGTTTGTATGGTGACAAGAGCCTCCCGGGGAGAATGGTTTGTATGGTGACAAGAGCCTCCCGGGGAGAATGGTTTGTATGGTGACAAGAGCCTCCCGGGGAGAATGGTTTGTGTGGTGACAAGAGCCTCCCGGGGAGAATGGTTTGTGTGGTGACAAGAGCCTCCCGGGGAGAATGGTTTGTGTGGTGACAAGAGCCTCCCGGGGAGAATGGTTTGTATGGTGACAAGAGCCTCCCGGATGGAATGGCCTCAGTGTCGACACTGGCTTCGGTTCTTGATGGATTTTGTACACCTGTGGTGTTTTCCAGCTGTTTGTGGTGTGGTGGCCAGGACTAACATAGTGTACTGGGACTGCATGAGCTTAGGGCTGCCTTTCCTAGTGTCCTGTAAGTACGACCCTTAGGTTCTAAGTTTGCCTTCCCTAGAATATTCGTGTTTACGCTCCCATTGGGGCTGCTGCTGCTTGGCATTTGCCCACACCCTTGGAGCCTGCTGGGGTTTTGTGGCTTTTCTTTGGACCTGCGGTAGGGAGTAGTGTTGTTGCTGGTTGGGGCACATCGGTGCTGCACAGCACACATACCTATAGTGGTGGCTGTGTTTCCTGTTCCTCCTTTTGTCGTTGTACTTCTGTGGATTTTTTCTTTTCTTTTTGTTTCTTGCATGGAGGAGGTCTGCCTGGTTTGACTATTCAGTTTACTTAGGATATTGTTGGTCGCCCTCTTCTAGGCCCCCGTGCTTGTACACTTCACAGGGGTTCAGTTTTTAGCCCAGTTCCCTCTTTGTTGTTGTTCCCTCAAGCTCAACCGATTTTGCAGCACCTGTGCCTGGCTTCCCACAGACAAAACCACCTGCAGAACCTGGAAAACCCCGTCAGGGCTTGGTTGACCACTGGATGCATCCTCAGGGTCCCATTTCCCATTGTGCAAGTTTGCAACTTGTTCGTTGCCCTTGTCTCAGGGTGACCTTCACTGGTTTTGCCTGTCATGCTGTTGTGGGGTTGCGTTGCTTGGTTGGTTTAGATTTTTGCAACGTGCTAGGTTGGTTACCTGCTCTAATGCCCTGGGGCTGCCCAGTTTTGGTTAAGTCAGACTTGGGGGCTTTGGTCACTTTGGCCTTGGTTATGTCTGCGCCCCTGGGTCCTTTTGCTGCTGTTGTGGTTCCTCTGCTCCCCTCTCCCCAGCTGCTGGCTCCCTAAAGTCTGCGGGTTTCGGAGTGGGGGTAGACTTTAGTTGGGGATGAGACTCGGGCGGTTCTGGGGGCTGCCAAATTCATTGTGGGGATGGATGCCTATGAGTATGCTCCTCCTGCTGAGGCTTCTACATCTTGCCAGCAGGCCCCCCTTCTTGTTGCCTTGTCCTTGGACTCTGCCTTTTCTTCTAGGGTGGTGGGCACGGAGGGTGGCTCTGCCCAGGGGCCTCTGTTGGGGGTTTCCAGGGCTGTGATGGGGGGGGGGGGTTCCACTAGCAGTTCCGGGACTGTTTGCCCCTGCTTGGGTTTTGTGCCTTCTGGACGGGGTATTTTTGGTCCCTCCTTCCCATTTGCTTTGGTTTTCCCTATTTGCTGGTGTGATTTCAGTTCCCTTACAACAGATGCATCTCCTTTATTTTGGTGGCCATTTTTTTTCTGAGGGTGCTTCACTTCCCTTCCCTGAGGGCGGCACTGCAGCTTGTTTGTTTACATGTGACTGCAGGGTGTGTGAGCTCGCATTTTTTGAGTGTTTTTTCTTCTCCATCTCGATTTTTTCTCCTCCCGTTGCCGTGTCTCTGTTTGTTCTTTCTTTGGGGCATCCTACCCTGTCTGTTACTCAGGGAACAATTCGGTGTTGGTCTTTTCAGTCGGTATTGTGTTTTCTGTGTGTGTTTGGGTTCTGGGCCCTGTTTTGATCCTGGTGTTCTTGCCCTGAATGCTCTGATAGGTTCTATGCCTTCGGCCACTGGCTTTTGGTCCCTTTTCTGGCCGTTTTAGCCGAGTTTTTTTTTTGTCAGGGTCATGTTTCTTGCCCTTCCTTTTGTGTGCTTTTCTGAGCACCTGTTGAAATTTTTGCTTTCCGTGGTGCATTCTCCGCCTACAATTGTGGTGGTTAGGGCTTTCCCCGGGTTTGCTTCTGGGTTCCTTTGTGTTCTTTGGTTTTGTTTTGGAGGTTTTCTTCCTCTTGGTTTTGTCCTGTAGTGGTTCGGGAGGCCCTTGGTGGTTTTCCACCTGTGTGACCTGGCATTTACCCCTCGTCCCATATTGGGTGCGTTCTGAGGTTCCTGGATCTTCCTGGCTTGCAAACTGCTATTGGGGGTTGGCACGGGTTGTGTGGTTGTGCCGGGGTTCCAGCTTCTGCTTGTTGAGATGGGTCTTTGGTGCCAGCTTTTGTGTCGTTGCCTCCTCTGGGGCCGTTTTTGTCTGGTCGGCGCAGTACTCGTTCTGCTCGCTGGTCGGCTTCTAGGAATTCTCAGGGTGAACTGAGGCTGACCCCTTCATGGGTCACCCCGTTGACAGGGCGATGGGGGGAGAGACTGGCTCTATTTGCCCACGCTTGGTCCCACGATTCATGGGTGTTTCAAATCACGTTTTCCAGCCTGTGGTGGCATTGGGTGGCTCCTTCTCCTCTCAGAGGTTTGGGGCTGGCGGGGCGGGCTTCTTCCCTTGTGCCCCGTCGGGTCATCTTGGAGTGGGTGTGCCTGGGTGTGGTCAACACGACCTCGTCCATCAAGTAGGTTCCCGCTTGTTCCAGTGCCGAAATGGGACACTGCAGATCTTCAGTTCATTCTGGATTTTTCCCATCTGAACCACTGGATTCCTTGCCCCTCCTTGCGGATGACCTCTCTGTCCCAGATCCGGCTTTTTTCGTTGTCGGGTTGTTGGATAATGTCTCTGGCTCTCTGGGATGCATGCTGGTACATCCCGATTCATCCGGGGTTCAGGGACTGGTTAGGTCTCGTGGTGGGGCGGTGTGCTTGTTTTCATTGCCTTCCAACTGGCCAGCTTCTGGCACCTCGTGTTTTCACGCGTCTTACCCGGTTCGTTGTGGCCCGTCTACATCTGCTAGGTATTCGGGTGTTGGCCTACCTCGACAACTGGTTGGTGTGAGTTCCCAGCCAGAGGGGTGGTTCTTTTCCCAGTTTGCCAGGTTCAGGTTCCTGGTGAACTGGGGAAGTCCCATCTGGTTCCGTTCCAGGTTCGGACCTAGCTGGGCCTCGTTTGGGACTCTCGAACTACTTCTGTGTGTCTCCCCTCTTCGTCATTGCTGTGACTGCGGTCCCACCTCCAGCTGTTCCTGAGGCATCATGGGTCACACGGCGGTTGCTCGAGTGATTGTGTGGGAAGTCTGAACTTTGCTGTTCAACGTCTGTTCTAGTTCCTTTGTGGACATCCCTTCTGCTTCTCACGCGACTGCTGGGTTCAACCCCATGGGCCTTGCGTTGGTTGCTGCATCACCGGCTTCCTCTTCGGGTTTGTCGGGGTTCAGTGCCTTGGTGCCTCCCTCACTCGATTTGTTCATGGTTGCCTCGTCTCTCTGCTGGTGCTTTGTGATGAGTGGGGTGGTGGGCTTCATCCTTCCGTTGAGCTCCCAGCACAGTGCAGGAATTTACGGTGGTTTGGCTCTCATTGCAGAGGGTTCGGGATGCTCAAGGCTCTACGATCCGGCTCCATTAGGACTGTGCTCTGATGGTTCCTTGTTTGAACTGCAGGGGTTCTCTTCGGTCATTGGCTTTTTGGAGCTGGTCACTTCGGGTGACTCGTCTGTTGGATTCTCGGGGTTTTAGCTGTCTGTGCAGATCACATCCGGGGAATGTCCAACATCCTGGTGGTGGCCTTTCATGGTTCATTCCCCTGTTCTCAGAATGGACAGTCGATGACGACTCCTTCCGTTGGGTCTGCCAGACATACGGGCCCCCGGCAGTGGACTTCTTCATGTCGGCATGGTCCCAGCGTCTTCCGATATATGTGCCTTCCATTCCCGACTGTGGTGCTCTTGTAGTAGAAGTTTTAGGCAGGACTGGTCAAGGTAGAGTTACTTGTATGATACCTCTACCTCCCAGTCCAGTTGATGCTTCGGCTTCTGGCTCGGTTGGAGTCTTTCCACAGAAGTCATCATCCTTATAGCCCCATGGTGGCTGACCCAGCTTTGGTTTCATGTGCTGCTTACTCGGTGTCCGAATCCGGTGTGTTTTCAGTGGCTCTGCCTCTTCCAGCACCTCGGGCCAGTCCCTTATGTGGCTGGTTTGATCTACTCCTCCGCTCTTTGTGTCTGGTCATTTTGACGCAGGTGTATCACCTCTTGTTTGGTGTTCAGGCTTCATTGAAGGTGTCGCACGTGCAATCTTCGTCTCGGTGACAGTATGATATTTCTTGGCATTCTTTTTGCCTTTCTTCTATTTCTGTTCTGTTTGTCTTCTATTTTCTGTTTTGTCTTGTCCTTTCTTTCTTAGCTCTTTCAGGACCATCGTCTTATGCCTCATACTGTCACCTCTTATCATGCGGCGCCGGCGGAGCCGTTCCAGCTTGCATTCAGGGTGGATGTCCCTTCTGCCCCGTTCCATAAGCTTTCTCGTGCTTTGTCACCTCCGGCCTGCTAATGTGCTGCCTGAGCCGTCCTGGTCCTTGGACTAGGTGATCCATTTTCTTTCTTCTCCTCAGTCTGTGGTGACCCCTTTGGTTCCTGTTTCCTTTCAGAAGGCTTTGTTTCTGTTGGCATTGACCTCTGAGAGGTTGGGTCGGTGTGCTTCCTGCTCTCTTCTGGTGCACAGGTTTTTGCTCTTTCGGTCCTGGTGGACGTTTTATTTGGTTGCAGCCATCTCCTCCTTTTCTGGCAAAGAACATGACGGCGGGTTACCAGAAGGGCCCTTGAATTCATGTTGCTTGGTTGGTCTGGCTGGTGGTGCATCGTGTGTTGTGTCCAGTTGCGGTTCAGCGCCATTACCTTCGCACCTCGGCTTCTGTGGCCATAGACGTGCTTTGAGTTGATCCGATTTCCCTCGTTCCCTGTTCCAGGGCTCAGGTCTCTCAGGTCATCCGCAGTGTTCTTAAGTCTAGCCAGACTACGGTCTATCCTCGTGCCCGTGTTGTTCATAAGTTTGCTGCTCTGGCCGCTGTGTTTGGGAACATATTTTGGCCCCGACATTTGGGCGCGGGGGTTTTGGAGGTCGAACAGGGTCCTGGTCACACATTAATTGGTGAATGTTCCAGGTTCCAGTCGTTCATGTGTTGCCTTGGGTCGCAGGTTGCAGTTGTCTCATCTTCGAGTTGAGGCACATGGTGCGGCCTCCTCCCCCCAAGTCTCTCTTTTACTTATCTTTGGTTATGTAGCTCCAGGGAGCTGAAGGGGTTCCCCACAGAAAAACAGGATTGAATGTTATGAAACACCATTTTCTGGGTGAGCCCCGGAGGCTCCCTGACACCGTCCCTCCCTCCGGTCGGCAGTTTTGTCATTAATGCTCAGCCTCTAAACTTAAGTCTGAGTAGCCGAAGTGAGGATCCTGGTCCCCCCCCTCTCCCTCCGGGGGAGGGGAGGGTTGCGCGGAGAAACAGCGTTTTGGCGGTGAAAGAAGTTTGATAGTTTGATTGTTTGCTTGTTTCCTTTGTTTTCTTTTTGGGAGTTCTGTTTCTTTGTTCGGTCTTGGGTTTTTTGCAATTTCCTACAATGTGGAGTTTGTTTTGAGATGCCTACCTTACTAGGTGCCTAACCCCCTGTCAATGGCAGATGGAATACCCCCAAATACAAGGAGGTTTTCCTAGGGTCATTGCTCCCTGTGCCTCCCTGAGGGGGCCATGTTCTGGCTAGTGGTCCTTGGATGGCAGAACTCCACTGACTGAAGATATACTAATATAGCGTATATCAGTCTGATAGCTCCAGGAGCTATCAGAGCTATTCCGGGGGTCACCCAGAAAATGGCGTTTCATTACATTTAACGCTGTTTTTTTTTGCAATTATCACTTCTAAAAGTGTACTGATCTATTTAGAACATGTTTTGTTTCCAGTAGATTCTGGCAGAACAGCTATTGTGCTATTATTTTACATGGTTAGATGCAGCATGTAGATCTGAGGTATCTGTGTCAATCTGGAATACATTTTAAGATGTTGGATGGTTGGGATGTTGCTCCATGACCAGTTCTCAAGGGGCCAAACGGAGGCTTGCCTGTAGCTAGACTGACTGAGATGACTCCACACCCAAAAGACACCTCAGCCCTTGAGAGTCCTTCAGTAGCCTACTGGAGGCCTGAGGACAAAACCTGGCCCCAGTCAAAGAGGCCTAAGGAACAGGTGATTTATGATCACCAAACAAACCCTCGGAAAGGAAGTGAAGCAAGACAGACATTTGTAAGGTTCAAAGAAAATAAATAATGCAGCAAAACACTTGGCAAACTATCCACCCAGCAGTCAAGTCATACTCCCCATAGTAGCAGGTGCTCTCACCAGGTGGCAGCACCATGGGACCTGCAGGCTACCCGTCAACAACCGTCAGTCCTTCGCCAGATGTCAGACTGCACCATGAGTTGCCATATCTTCAGGTCCCGGATTTTCTAGTTAGGTGTTGGCAATTCTTTGGACTACATCTTGCCGGACCCTGTTTGCTTGTGTATTGTTTCAGTCTTTACTATTTGTTTCACATGTGGCATGTCTCCATGCCTCGCTTGTTGTGTGGACCTTGGGAAACTGCTCATTTCAAGCTGCACATGCTTAGGGCTATCCTTTCTTCAGTGCTCTTCAGTGATGTTCTTGCCCTGACAGGGATGCTTTCCTGGTGGGTTCAGGTGTTTGTCCTATAGAGGTCTGCCTCCTATTGAGGGTGCAAGGGTCTTTAACTCCTCTGTGAGGCCCTTAGGTTGAGGTATTCTTTAGGTAATGAATAAAGGGTACACTTAGGTTTGTGTGCTTGTACATATGGAGCACCACTGACACCCTTCGCAGCCTTGTGTTTCTATTGTTCCGTGTTCGGTGTCAATTCATCAGCGAAATGTCCCTAATACCTGGGCGTCATGCTTGGTTTTTGCCTTCAGGTCCTGCTAAGCCTCACAGGTCTTTGGTATAGATCATAATGGATTAGCTCACCCAGTCCACAATTGCTTCTTGAGAGTTTGAAGTACAGTATGTCTATTAGTTTTGCTATGTGCTAATGGTCATTTGTACTCTCTGCTATGCTGCCTGTTCAGAGGGTATTACCCTCTACATATGGCCAGCAATGTTTGGATTCACTGGTCTCTATTTTGGCTAAAGCCTCTGTCTATTTATTTTATTTTTTATTTTTTTAGGGGACAAGGTTTAAGCCTCTTTGGATTCATTTGCCAATTTGTTGTTGTCTTCAACCTGCTGCTCAAGGTACCCCCAAAATCACCTTTTTTGTTTTTTAGGGAATAGGAGTTGGAGTGGCTGTCAATTTCTACTGGTTCTATATTCACCCTTCCTCCTCCCACAGTTCATTTGGTATGGTCTGACAGACCTCTCATACCCTTTCCCTTTGCTTTTGACTCCTGGATATCTGAGAGTTTTCCAATTCATGTTAAAATTACCTGTGGGTGTATGGTGTTCTCAAGGTGGATGCCATCAAAGTGGAACAGATGGGCTGCTAGCTCTGCTAACCCTGTAATAGTGACTTGACTGCCACCTAGTGGCAGTGGGGCAGCTGTTGCTTTCCCAGTATTCAATAGCGATAATTAGGGTTTATTGTGTTGCCAATTATTGCTTGGAGGTGTTGAGAGGTTTGTATTATTCTATGATAACCTAGCGAATGACTTGTTTTTTCCCAGTGGTGGATTGAGAGAACTCTGCACTGTCTTCCCACCCCAGTTACTGTGTATGATGAGACTGCTTACAAAACTCCTCGTCATGGTAAGGAGAAGGATGAGAGCCTAGACTACTAGTCCTAACACTGTACTGGATGAACTCTGGCAGCTAGGTCCACACACAATTGATGAGGGCCTTGCTCAGATAATCAACTCTCTACTTTCTGTGTAGACCTACAATAAAACTATTAAAATAAATTTTACATAAAAATTATGAATTTATTTTGTAATTGATGGTCATGTTGAAATTTTGGCCTGGGCCAGGTACTAGAACTGGCTATGTCATTTATGTCAGGTTATATTGTGTTACTGCTCTCACCTTATGCACTCACTGCTCTCACCTTATGCACTCACTGCTCTCACCTTTTGCACTCACTGCTCTCACCTTATGCACTCACTGCTCTCACCTTATGCACTCACTGCTCTCACCTTATGCACTCACTGCTCTCACCTTATGCACTCACTGCTCTCACCTTATGCACTCACTGCTCTCACCTTATGCACTCACTGCTCTCACCTTATGCACTCACTGCTCTCACCTTATGCACTCACTGCTCTCACCTTATGCACTCACTGCTCTCACCTTATGCACTCACTGCTCTCACCTTATGCACTCACTGCTCTCACCTTATGCACTCACTGCTCTCACCTTATGCACTCACTGCTCTCACCTTATGCACTCACCTTCTCTGCATAGAAAAATGCTTTGATCAATTGCTGTCCAGTTTCCATCTTGACAGGTAATATTGATGGTTGAGCTGAGGTTCCCAAACAAAAGGCTTCCCCCACAAGTATATACGACCTGCAGATATTACTGATATTAACTGTGAAATGCACATTTTATAGCCTACAAAGGTACTTTGAGAGAGAACTCTATCAACATCAGAGGCCCAAGACTGTTCAACACGCTTCCACTACACATAAGGGACATAACTGGCCGACCCCTCACAGTGTTCAAGAGAACTGGATAAGCACCTCCAAAGGATACCTGATCAACCAGGCTGTGATTCGTACGTCAGGCTGCGAGCACCCGCGTCCAACAGCCTGGTTGACCAGTCCAGCAACCAGGAAGCCTGGTCGACGATCAGGCCACAGGCATGCTAAGCCTTGGGAGCACCTCAAGGTAAGGCAAGGTACAATAACTGTCAAAGATAATTACAATAAATTCCCCATAAAAGTACTCGAGTGAATAAATTATACAGGTGAAACTATTTACTTTTACATAATATATTCTATTATTATATTTCCATAAAGCAACACAAATGTTTTTTAAGTCATAACAGATTTTCTTCCTCTTATTATGATGCTAATGAAATTATTTCCAACAATAAATACAGAACTATTACACATTAAACTATGTAACTTATGAGAAATGTATTGGAAGACTGTTTACGTATACTGTATCGAGTAGCAAGTAAACCTGCATTACACAGACGTCGACCCAAGAGTGCATTATAAATTCATTGTGTTGGGGGACAGGCGGCCAGTTTATACATGCAGTATATGTTAGGTTTATATCTAGATATACCCCCCTTCCCTAGGGGTCACATTATTAAACCTCCTCAGGATGCAACCCCCACAATAAGTTGACTAACTCCTGGGTACCTATTTACCACTAGGAGGACAGGGGCATTAGGTGATAGAGAACGTGCCCAACCATTTCTGTTCTACACAGGATTCGAACCCAAAATTCTCAATTGTCAGTTGAGAAAAAACCCAACTGTACTGCTGGGACCTTAAACAACTTAAGATTCAAATATAAAGTTAATCCGACAATATTTAAAGTACAAGAGGGCCTTATTATATGAATGCGTGTTGTACAGACACTCGTCCATTCAAACAACTTCCTATTTACCTATCCGTTGACAACCTGTTGATTTCAAAGAACATCATCACTTCGGTCCGGTCACTGACCAGGCCTCCTGGATGCTGGTCTGATCAATCAGTCTGTTCAATGCAGCTGCTCACAACCTGACATACGAGTCACAGCCTAGTTGACCAGGTACCCTTTGAGGTTGATTCAGTTCTCTTTTGAGCACTGTGTGAGGTCGGCCAGTTATTCCCCATATGTGTAGGGGAAGAGTCCATGTTTTTGCATCACAATCCACCAGATTTATATATTCAAACAAAATGTCTACATAACCCACTAGTGTCACGCTGTAGCCCACACTGCCCCAGTCAGCAGTACTGTCATCACTCTCAAAGAGCTAATCCTTTTTACACTATAAGAGAAAGGTAGTTTCTCATGTGTAGGTGCAATTAGTGTCAGCAGCAGACTGCTGTGTTGTTGTTTTCAACACAGCAAAACAACAGTGTTGTTTGTTGTTTTCCCTGATGCCTGCCATCCACAGTCATTGGCTACATGATTATGTTTTTTCTTTCCCCCTATCCCTGAGCCACTGCTGTTGTATAGCAAGCATAGGCAGGAAGGCAGACATTCTCAGTCAAATAATCTCAGTAAGGCATGGAATCTATCAGGCAATCACAGTCAATCGGGCTGTCTCAGTTGCTATTCCACATGTAAGAGGCTGTCCAGGAAGTGTTTGAAAGAGGAAGGGGAAAGGTTGTAGGGTGTCACAGTAGGGCACAAAAGGGTGGAGATGGGTGTCACAGTAGGGCACAAAAGGGTGGAGATGGGTGTCACGGTAGGGCACAAAAGGGTGGAGATGGGTGTCACGGTAGGGCACAAAAGGGTGGAGATGGGTGTCACGGTAGGGCACAAAAGGGTGGAGATGGGTGTCACGGTAGGGCACAAAAGGGTGGTGATGGGTGTCATGGGTAAGAATGTGTGTCATGAGTTGAGATAGAGAGGGATGTTGAGGTGGGTCAAGCTCAAACACAAAATTATATAAATATTAAAGCAAGGAGCACCCACAGGAACTAACAACTATTTGCTTGACAAATATTTCCACTGTGCTTGGTTTGAATGTGCCTGAATGTATTTGTTAGTCCCAACATGAAAATTCATTGCAGATGTGCCAATAGTCAAAACAAATACCATAAGAGAAGTACGGCTCTAAAACTGTGAATCACATTGCATATTATACTGCTACAATCCTGTGGTACTCTGATGTTATGGAATGTAGGAGACTGTTGGTTTACTTGGGAAATGTGGGGAGATCTTGATTAATGGAAGGATTTCCTTGCTAATTCTCAGTAAATATACAATATGCCCCCCCCCCTTTCCAGATTGTAACACATACACTATCAAGAACAAGAGCCAAGTTGGCATCAAATAAATAAAAAATGCCCATACAGCTTAAGGCAAGTTTCATACTGGCAACTGAATACTTGTTGGTCAACTTCAGAGAATGAGACCTTCAACAGGTGCATCCCACAGGTAAATAAACACTATTCTGGGTGAATTAGAGAAGATAATCACTATGTATAACTCACTGTGGTCCCATTGGTTCTAGTGTAACCATCCCAGCTACTGTTGGCAGAGGCTGGAGCAGGAACTGGATCCCCGAGGCATACTGTGGAAAGGAGGTAGTAGATAACCATCTAATTAATATGTGCTACTGTGTGAAGGAGAGAAGTGCACACTTGACCAAGTATATCAGATCACATATTCTCAAGATTATGTTAGACTTTAATGGGGGGCACTTTATGTTAAACATCACAGGGGAAAAGAAGGGGGCCAACTCTCAAGTTTCCATTAGAGCAATATGCCACGAATGCCTCACATGAGCAAACTTGGCGTGAAAAGCAGCAGCTGCCTGAAAGAATTCACCTGGGAGACAGAATTCATCAAGGCAGAGGACCCAGTGAGAATGCACCTCACAGGACTCGGGGCCGTAAACATTACCAACTTAACATGCAGCATGGTGGGAGCAGCAAGAATGATCGTCAGATGATGAATAACCCTCAAACTTGAAAAATGCGAGACTGGGCTTGCCAGGCTGCTTCATAATGACCTTGAACAAGATCAGAGGGGATCCCTAAGGCATTAAGGAAAACCAAGCAGATACCCCAGGCACAAAAGCTGCTTGCAAAAGAAAACAGGAACCATGAAAGAAAACCATGATTTCCCCAGTGTGCCCCAGCACAACCAAAGAATGTCCCTAACCAAGGACCCGACAGAGACAACAAGACCCCTAAACAGCCCAAGGCAAGGCCCTCACCAACGTGGGCTGCCCTCATGAACCCCTAACACACCAGAGGAGGTAACTCTGGCTGTGCAAGGACAGTGTAAGCAAGCACACAGGGAAGAAAACCCCTGAGCATATGCAGCCCAAAATACAAAAAGAGCCAAGCCCACACACACAAAAAAACGAGCGTTGAATGTAATGAAACACCATTTTCTGGATGAGACCCGGAGGCTCCCCGGAGCTATCCAGGCTGATATGCTAATGTCAGACTTTGGCATCAGTCATGTGTATGGAGTTCTGTGGGCCTACCGGGGACCACGAGCCAGAACCTGGCCCACTCAGATAGGTATGGGGAGCAATGGCCAATAGAAACCCCCGTGTGGTTGGAAGCATTCTATGTCTGCCATCGACCAGGTAAGGCACCCAGAAAGGTAAACGTCCCAAAACAAACCCCCTATTCTGGTGAAAATTGCTACAAAAAGCTGAACAAGTGGATAGAAGTTCCCCCCTAAAAATCGAGCAAACGAGCATGACGTTACATGTTGCCGCGCTACTGTCTGTGCAGCTCCTCCCTTCCCGGGAGGGGCAAGGGGGAGCCCCAGACCCCCCGCGCCAGCCATCCACCCTTCAGTTCTGAGCCTGGACATCAAAACACGCGAAAACTGCTTACCGGGGGGGGGGGGAAGGGAGGGTTATCTTGAGGTTATCTTGAGATGATTTTAGGGCTTTTTAGTGTCCCCGTGGCCCAGTCCTCGACCAGGCCTCCACCCCCAGGAAGCAGCCCGTGACAGCTGACTAACACCTAGGTACCTATTTTACTGCTAGGTAACCGGAGCATAGGGTGAAAGAAACTCTGCCCATTGTTTCTCGCCGGCGCCTGGGACCAAACCCAGGACCACAGGATCACAAGTCCAGCATGCTGTCCGCTCGGCCGACTGGCTCCCTGCCGGTCGACTTGCCGGGAAGCCTCCGGGTCTCACCCAGAAAATGCTGTTTCGTTACATTCAACGGTGGTTTTCTGGAGGGAGCCCCGTTGGCTCCCCGGAGCTAAATACCCACAGACAAAAATTAGAGGGACTTACCCGGGAGGTGGTCGCTACTCACTCCTCAACCCGAAGTCGAGACAACTGGCTGTAACTGCCGACCCAAAGCGACATAGCCAACTTGGCCCAGGAACGTTCACGAGGTAGTGCACAGCCAGGACCCTGTTCAACCACCAACATCCCCGCGCCCGAATGTCAGCCCAGAACATGTTGCCAAAGATGGCAGCAAGAGCAGCGATCTTACGAACGTCATTGGCACGGGGATAGACCGCAGGCTGGCTAGCCTTAATAACCCTGCGGATGACCTGGGAGACCCGCACCCGTGAACAAGGAAGGAGGGAAACCGGATCAATCCAAAGCGTGTCCCCATCGACCGGGGTTAGGCACCCAGAAAGGTAGGCATAACAAAACAAACCCCACATGGTAAAAAAAATAAATAAAACTAAACCAAAAACCGAACAGAGAGATAGAAACTCCCTACAATCACAAGGAAATAAGCAAACATCACACTTTACTGCTGCGCCGATCATCCGCGCAGCCCTCCCCGCCCCGAGAGGGGGAGGGGGGAGCCCCGGACCTACTGCGCCGGCTGCCAAGCTTCAGTTCGGAAGCTAAGCTTCAACCAACGCGAAAAAACCGCTGACCGGTGGGAGGGAGGGTTGCCAGGGACCCTCCGGGGCTCACCCAGAAAATGGCGTTTCATTACATTCAATGCTGGTTTTGTGTGGGGAGCCCCTACGGCTCCCTGGAGCTTCATACACAAAGAGAAGGAAAAGAAAGGGCTAACCCAGGAGGTGGCCGCCACAAACTCTGCAACGCAAAGCCGAGACAACAGGTCGCAACCTGCGACGCAAGGCAACAAGAACGCACAGGAGCAGACGCACAAAGAATAGGCGGCCAAGAACCTGTGCGACTTTCAAATCCCTGCACCCGAAATGAGCCCTAGACGTCCCAACACAGCAGCAAAAGCTGCAAACGTCTGAACAGCATGGGCGCAATGACAGATCGCAGGCTGGAAGAATGAAAAATCTGCGGACGACCTGGGAGACCCGAGCCCTGAAAAACAGGGAACGAGGGGAACTGGATCAACCACAGCGCATCCCCAGACACGGTATGCCGGCAACGGCAAAAACACAACCAGACAACACAGGACGCACCCCCAGCCAAACCAATCAAGCATCAAAACCCCAAGAACCCCTACGGAAAGCAGCCGACTCTATCGTCGCCAGGACGGAGAAAGGCTGCACACGTACAAATCTACCACCAGTACCAAAGAGCAGAAACCTGAACCGAAGGGGCTACCACAAACTGAGAAGATAAGAAGGCACCCTGATCAAGGACCAGGATGGCTCAGGCGACACATGAGCAGGCTGGAGGCGAAACAAAACACAAGAAAACGTACAAAATGTCATACTGTCGCCAAGACGAAGTTCGCAGGTGGGACACCGTCAACAAAGCCACCAGAACACCATAGAGATGGTGAAACCCGCATCAAAATACCAGACGCGAAGAGCTGAGGAGAAGGCCGAACAAGTCACGTACAGGACCAATTCGACCTGCCGAAAGAGGCGGAGTCGCGGGAAAACGCCCCGCAAAAGTACACTGTCTCCAGAGGCAACAGGAACCGGTTGCCGCTTAGGTGGCAGGCTGTGCAACACCTTGATGCCCTAACCAGCACAATACCAATCCCTACCCAGGGCCAAACAAGGGCCCCAAGCCCCAGCTGGCCCCAAGGGCGAGGCAAATGCCGAGCAGCAAGAACCTCTACGGGAATGGTTCCCAAACGCCCCAGGGAAGATAACCCTGTTACGCAAGGGCAGTACTCAGCTTAGGGAAGTCAGCCACTAAGCACATACAGCCCCGGCACTGATGAGGTACTCCTGGCCACCGCACAACACAACACACGGCAGTGAACGCCACACAAGGCAAACACCGCCTAGGAAACTGAGGCCAGAGAAGCATCTATCCCGGTTGACATTAGCGAACGAATTGAAGCTTGGTAGCCGGCGCCGTAGGTCCGGGGCTCCTCCCTCTCGAGGCGGGGAGGGCTGCGCGGACGATCGGCGTGGCAGTAAAGTGTGATGTTTGCTTGTTTGCTTGTTTCCTTGTGATTGTAGGGAATTTCTACCTCTCTGTTCGGTTTTTGGTTTAGTTTTAGTTTTTTTTTTTACCATGTGGGGTTTGTTTTGTTATGCCTACCTTTCTGGGTGCCTAACCCCGGTCGATGGCAGATAAGGAAAACCCCAACCACAAAAGGGGTTTTCCAGGGCCATTGCTCCCTGAAACCTCTCTGAAGGGGCCATGTTCTGGCGCTGGTCCCTGGTAGGTCTGAACTCCTTAGCTAATTTCCCGGTCTAATATAACATACATTAGCCCGATAAGCTCCAGGGAGACGTAGGGGCTCCCCACAGAAAAAACAAGCATCAACAACCCCAGGGACCCCTCCAGAAATCAAGGAATCAAGGGGAAAGAAGAGAGCTCCCAGGCCAAGACTAGGACTGCTCAGGCGGTGCCTGAGCCGGCCGGAGGTGAAAACACCCGAGACAGCTTGCGAAACGGTGCAGAAGAAACATCAAAACTGAAAGCAAGCCATAATGGCTACACCAGCGCCGCACGAGGAACAGCGAAGCACGCAGGTGGGGCACTCAACAAAACCACCTGATCACCAAACAGATGGAGACAGACTCAAGTTAAAAAGCACCAAATGCGAAGACTCGAGGAGAAGACCGAACCAGCTATGTAATGGACCGGACCGAGCATCTGAAAGCGGCGTAGCCGTAGGAAAAACCCCGGTTGTGGACACCGAGCAAGCAGCGCCCGAACCAAGGCTGACAGAGGAACCAGATGAAACCTCAGCTAGTTCACCAGGAATCCGAACCAGGCGAGCCGGAAAAGAACCAAATTCCTAGCGAGCAGACCCGCCCCGTTCAGGAAGAATCCCCCTTCTCCAGACCGCTGAAGAACCAACAAGGCCAACAACTAGAAGCTGCTGATAGCAGAAACTGCCCAACCGCAGACTCTGCAAACAGCTAGGACAATTGGCGACAAAAAACCGATTAGCAAGGGCCCAGGCAGAAGCCAACAAGGAAACGAGGATCACTAGCCGACAAGCGAAACGTGAAGCAAAATTTTGCAACATTGCATCCCGCAGGAACTGCAGAAACAGCTCCAGCAGTGCAGATGACACATGCGCCGTCGATGTATGGAGGAAGAGAACACCGGAGGACATGTACTGCACTAAAATACAAAGATGCAGAATGTAATAGAAATACAAATAAAAATCCGCCGCCAGGGCTGCAAACCCTGGCTCCACTCGTCCTAATGACAATGAACTGTAGGGGG